TTAATGCAAAATGCACATATATTTCATTCAAAAATAGAAGAATTATGCTTGGTTTGCCACTTGTGCAGATTGACTTTTTTTAATTTTTGTCTTTAATTTCATAATTGTATATTACCCGTGGAAAATAGCTTTCGTTTCTACCCGAGTTTATTTGAAGTGTCCAAAACTGCAGTGTGTTTTCAAAAGAACTGCAGTGTGTTTTCAAAAGACACCTTTGGGCCTATTCTGCTAATAACAAGAATTGGGTAATTAATTCAACTTGTCCCATTCAAAAAGAAATGAAGATGTGAACAAAGGAGTCTTTTCTGAAAAGAATAACAATTATATGTGTTGTGTAATTGTTGTTGACATTCCTTAGTATTTATTAGGGAACATGTAATATTAATGGATAAATAGAAGGGACCCATTAAAAAAAAAAAAAGAAAAAAAAAAAAAGAAATAAAAAGTTCAAACTTTACCGGTTTAGTAAATGAGCACCTAATTGCTTGCATGGGAACAGCTAAATGCAGTCATTGAAGATAGGTGGGGTCCCCAATTAGTAATTTTCACCAATCTCATTTTTCAGAGGTTCTGAGCCATTGGCTTCCATTTGAAAGTGTTCCTAGCATTTCTTTATAAACCATTCCCTTCAGTTTTAAGGACCAGACAGAGGTCAGGAAACTTTTCTGACAGGCAGATGCAGGATAATCCTTACCCAGAGCATGTGATAGCTTGCTTTGATTCACCACAAGAGGCTGCAAAGTAGATAAAATATACCAGTTCAGAAAGGAATTAGGCAAATTCACCAACAGTGGTTCTATAAACTAACAGGAATAGGCAAAAATGTACCCTCTAGCATCCTTAACACAGTAATGAATACTGAGAGAGTGCAAAGAGAATCAACCACAGGTTGCAAAACTCAGATCTTTTCTCCAAATCTTGCCTCCTATTCACTCTCTCAGGCATGGAAGTCAAAATGAGACAGGCCATGTTTTTAGCAGGGCTGCCAATATTAATTTCTTCCCAAAACAAAGTGCTAGGACTGGGAAAGAGCTGGGACAGGGAACCAAAGAGAGAGCCTTTGATGTTCACCCTGTTGCTTGTTGGTTTACAGAAGCTGGAAAAGGTGCTTAAGAATATTTGCTGGAGAGGAAAGCAGCCACCTTTCTTTCAGCAGGAACTGCACACTTCCTGTCTTCCTTCGGTAGCCATGGGAGTCAGCCAGGCTTTGCAGAGCATTTTTACAAAAAGGGCTGCCTTTTAATGAAGGAAGAATGAAGAGGCTGGAGGAAGAATTGGTATAGGGAGGAGATGGTTCATGAAAGACAAAGATTTAGCTTCTCCGGGAAGTTTACAAGTAAATATTTGTATTTTGAATGGAGCCTTCTAAATGCAGAGTGCCATGAAGCATCTGTCCACTTAACTGCATTCTCTCGTTATTGCTGCTTCAGTTACTAGTAGTGAACAGCTAGAAATAAGAGCCCTAAAATATTGAAAGTAGCACCATTTTAATTATTCAATTGCATTTAAAAATAATAAAAGCTATTGTTTATATTAAATTCTCAGTAGAATACAAAGTGTACTTCCAAAAGTAATACATTTTGAGACTGTTCAGCTATGTTAGAAATAAATGTATTATTGACTGTTAAGAGTTCTGTTCATACTACATTAACTTCTGTTGAGTATGTTTTTATATTAAATGAAATAGTTCACAAAAAGATACATTTATGAGATGAAAAAAGAATCACTTTTTTATGACTCTCTAAGAGAATACAAAAAAGTTTCCTTAACCTTTACTTTTTCTTGAATATTCTATGCAGGAAAACAACTTGATAGAAAAGTGGAAGGGAAGTGGAAAGGCATCCTGCTCATAACTCAATACACACAAACTTAAACACTTCCCACAGCAGCCCTTGAAGAAGAGCTGTTTTGTGTCCAAGGAGCAGTTCTGCATCAAGACTTCACTTTAAAACATCCCATGCAGGCAGAGGGTCTCTCTTCTGATCCATCTTCTTGTCATACTATTTGTCCACAAAACTAGTGAGTGGTGCAAGGAGGGGGAAGCACTCAATCAGTGACAACAGCTAAAAAGCTAACCCATGACTCAAAATTTATTCCCAATGTAAGAAAAGATAACTTTAAAGGCAGAAGAAATATTTTCTGTTACTACTTGTTCATTGCAATGCACTTGAAAACTCATATATATAATTTTTTCCCTGCACTGTTTTTTGTTGTTAAATTGAATTTATGTACTTTTAATGCCTTAAGACCAATACTATTGATATTTTAGCAGAATAATAATTTATGATAAAATAACGTGATGTTTAGAATAACATCTATTAATGATCAATCTTCATGTTGTATGGCACAGTTCCTTCTACTCAGATCAGCCTTTTCCAAAAGCTTCTAAAGCAGAAAAAAGACTAAGGACTCTGGGGCAGAAAGATTTACATTATCAAAAGGAGACTATAGATGTGCAAAAGAAGGTGAAGTGTGAGAGGGGAAGAGTGATCCTGTTTCTAAATATTTTTTTCCTGCATGACACATCATTTTCCCTTCTAGCTGCCAGCTAATGAGCTCTGTCCACCAAGATCCCCTCTGTTACAATCCCAAGCATAATGTGCTGGGCAATCAGAGTCTGTTAGTGATGTTCACAAGGCAGTGCTGCGATCATCAGTTGTGGGGATGTCTAGCAGAAAATGTGCTGAATGCAATCCCCCTAAAATTTTATATTCCCTCCTTAACCCTTCTGGAAATTTTAAACAAGCGTCTTAGTCTCTTCCTAAATTCGTTTGTGTAGGTCTTTTCTCCAGAATGGAGAAGCATGTGTCCAAATGGGGCTGCATCCCTAGCTGGTGTATATGCACAGTGAAAACAATAAATGTGAAAAATAGCTCTGTCTTTGCTACAATATGTTGTGGGTTTAAAATTGTACATCAATTGTCAACTAAACGAGTTCAAACGTGCCCCATTTGTGTCTGTCACTGTGGTCTGTGACAGCCATCACTGTAGTCTGTAATTCTGCCATCACTTTCATCTACTTTAGTTATTCTACCTGTTTCTGAATTTTTAATCGTCTTTTTGACAATTCTAAGTAATTTTTTTTTTGTCTGGTGCTTTAATTAGCAGTTTTGCTTCCCAGTGAATTACTTGCTGACGGAATCACGCAATCCTTCACTTGACAGGAAGGGTGTAAACAAAGAGAATTTTGAGTAACAGTCAAAACTGCAGCATTGCCGCTACACCATAAAAATTAATTTCAAAGATGAGATGGAAAAAAAAAAAAAAAAGAGGAGTTTCAGATGTTGTTAATGCTGTATTTGGATACTGTATCAGTAAAAGCTATTCTGTCATTCACTGTGGAAAGATAACATTTACCCTTAAATACTTATTAAATAATCTTCTGTAAGCCAGGGCTGCGTACTGTCAGAATTGTTGAATTGTATTGCAGGTTGGGAATGCTGCTGCAGCGCTCACATGGCACATTCTTCTAACTTGCAGCACTTAGTTCCATGGCAATTGAGTCACAGAAGCTAAAATGACCAATTTAGAGTCTAGAATAAAGTCATGATATTGCCATACCCATTGCATTAGCACCGTGGCCACACTGTGCAGCATAGTAACATCTAATAAAAACCTTCAGCTGCCATGAGTTTTTCACATTACTGTATTTTCATTTCTTTCTATGATATTTAACAATTCAAGAACATTGAAAAAAGTGTTTTCAGAGAGCTGTGTATTTTGGGGGTTTGGTGTTCTTTAAACTTGTGCAGGTATTTGGTTGCACTCTTCATTTCTGGAATTTAATTTTCTTTAGGGTTTGATGTTAATTACTTTCAACATGTGTCTGCAATAAGTGAACTGGCTATTATAAGGATTATGCATGTATTTTTTGGGGGGGATGTGTGAGATGTGCAAACAGAAAATTATCAAAAGTAGAATACTTATTATGTAGCATTTTACTTGTAAAATTTATTGATAAGTGAATTCCTCGCAAATAACTTAATTCGATTTAATGTAAGAATACAAGCAGTAGATTAGATAAAAGAAACATTTTTAAAAAACATTATTGTAGGCTGAGCTCAGTCGTTATTTTTCAATGTGAAAAATCATGAAGTACATTGAGACTTATTGAGTTATTCACGTGTTAGAAGTTAAATTCATATCTAAGTGTCTTGCTGAACCAGAGGTAAAAAAGAAATACTGTAAGGGCAGTTTTTCAAATTAAAAATTAAAGAGGAAGGGGTTTATTTATTTATTTATTTATTTATTTATTTATTTATTTATATGCACATAAGAGGCTTAGTTAGTCCAAAAGTGTTAGAAATAAACTTAGAGCAATATATGAAAGTGTCAAGTTACAGACTTAATGCCAAGAAATATGATTACATCAAATTCAAATCACCTTTGCTAAATTATTGAATATTCTAAATATATATATTTTTAAAAATAGTTAAGATGCTTTTGGAGTTTCATCATATCTCCTTACACTTTGTTTGGACAAGCTGGAGAGAGCACGATGAACATGTCTGTTTTCCAGTGAAGACAGAATAATTTCCAATTAAAAGCTTTTATGTAAAATATAATAAAATAAAATACAAAATAAAATAAAATAAATGTATCTTTCCATGCAGCATTTGTGTTCAAATATTGAAATAATCCATCTGATAGTTTACTATGTGAGTTTTAAATTAATTGAAAATAATTATGGAATCCCACATATTTGCCTTTTATAAACAGAGAGCAATTTAAAAGTTAAACAAAGAGCATATAAGATTAAAAAAAATTCATTTCAATCATTATAAATTGCACGAATTGTAAGAAAAGAAAATGTGTTCTGTTTACCTGGTAAGGTCCTTTGAATTGCTCAGTAACGATGAATGCATTTGTTTGTCCAAAACATGGGATGGCTCCAGTTATGTGTTGTTAGGATTTGCATATTAAACAGCTAAGCTCAGTCAGTGCATTATGGAGCCCTACCTCTTTGATGCAACATAACCTTGCATTTTCATTCCTTGCAGAAGGGAATCCATACACCTGGTGGGTTGGAAAAGCCAATGAGAAGCACTACTATTGGGGCGGATCGGGACCTGGCATTCAAAAATGTGCCTGCGGCATCGAACGCAACTGTACTGATCCCAAGTACTACTGCAACTGTGATGCTGATTATAAGCAATGGTGAGTGGTTTACCAAAAGGTAGGATGAGAACGACCAAATCTCTTAACTTTTGCAACACTGTCACTACTTTGCTCTTTGGCAAGAAAGGAAATACGGAAAAAAAAGAGAAATTCAAAGGCAGAAAATATTATGTTTGTGATCCCTCCTGTAATGGTATTTATCCATGACTTCATTTCCATTTTATTCACAGTATCTGTGACTGTCAAATATAAGGACTATATTTATGTTTTCGAGCCCACTGAGCTATAGAAAAGAACATTAGAATTGCAAAGGCAGGTTCTCATAGGAAAGGCCAGTATTTTAGCTACCAATGAGACTTTGCCTCCATCAGATTCAGTTATATTACAATTATTACTGTATTTATTATATAATATAATATATTTACTGATTACAGTATTAATTTTATCTCTACAACTTCTTTTTTTTTTCCCTAGAATTTCTCTTTTTTATGATGGTGTTGCTGTATTGGAACATGAGAGATATGAATTGAAATCACTCATCTATTGCCTCTCACCCTCATTATCCATCTTTCATGAGAAAAATATGTTAAGAACCAGACTTAATGTGTATTATCAAAGAAGGGGCTCTGTATTTCAAAGGAAGTTATTGGACTTTTGTACTGGGGAGCCCAGAACTGGACTGAGCACTCCAAGTGTGGGCTCACCAGAGACGAGCTGAGGAGAAGGATACCACAGAGATAGAGAAGTCAATATTAGAGACAGGGGAATCAGATGTGCTGTCAAAGTTCAGAGATAGAATTATATACAGAGTGAAGAATATAAAGTTAGAGGACTCCAACTCACTAGAGCAATGTGGAAGGAGGGAGGGAGGTTTGGTTCTGTGTCAAAATGGTAACGATAAAAGGAAGATATTGTAATAATAATTACAATAATGGTAGAATTAGGGGCATTTACAGTTTTCATTGCCTGAGGCACTGGATGCATAGCCATGAATAATAGTCTCTGTACCATATGTTCAGTGTTTTCTTTTACACCAAGGGAAATGTGTAGGGGAAATAGCATTGACTTTTGATCTCTTCTTGAAGAGTCACACATGATAATTTAATAAGCAGTGTTCACTAAATAATCTTTTTCTGTAACCTCTACACCCCCATATACACCAAGATTATCTGTATTCTACTAATAAATAGATTCATATAGTTATTAATTTTAAGTCTAAAATAGGATTATCATAAAAGATATTCAGCTTTTCACTCAGAATTCATACAAGAATATATTTATAAAGTATTTCTCTAGGTATATATCAGAATTTTTTCAGGACAACTACTGTTTATTAGAGGACTGTTTATGAAAAATAATTATACAGCTGGGTATTATATTCTAATCTGTGGTGTGTGTAAATCACATGAAGAAACAAATGCCTTATTATAGTCTTTAAGGGCATTTTGTCCAGGATTCACGTTTTCAGTTTGGTTCTGGCAAAATCTAGTCCTTTCCATAGTCATGCCTTTTGGGTTTGAGAGTTATTTTGAGGAGTTCTAATTAGTAGTTTTATCTATCCAGGTTGATCAATATCTAAAAAGCAACTGAGCTTCAGAGCAGAGGAGACCTTGATGACTTCAAGCATCAGAGCCAGAATTTAACCAGGGCCTCCAACACAGCTGTACTCAGTTTTGGTGACAGCAAAACAGCTCCCGGTGTAAACCACAGAATCTGCAACAGTTGATGAAGAGCAGACAGGTCTCAATTCACAGATTGACTAAGCAGCTAGCCACAGCTGTCACCATTGCTTATCAGCACAACTAATTTTAGAAAAACTTACAGTCCTCAAAGAGAAAGGCTAAATAAAGGCTGAAATGGGCCTGAGAGACCAGGTGGGACTTTTGCCTTAATTGCAAGTCTTATTCATAGCTGGGAGCACTGCATTAGATTGCAGTGTGCCTACAGTGATGTTCTGCTCCTGTCCAGGTAATGTAGGAAAAGCTGTTTTGGGTTTTTTTAGGGTTTTGAAGGGGGAAGACAGAGTGGGGAGAAGTCAGTAGCCACAGCAGCAACTATATTAGAAAAGGAAAGAAATAAAATGGGAATAGAAGTCTGCTGCATGGAAATTGTGAAAATGAAAAGTGAAAAGGAAGAGTGAGATTCAATATAGAGATTTTTTTAAAGGAGATTGGGGAGCCACTGAGAAGTGACTAAGGCTGAATCAGAATGATGTAGTGTAAGAAGAATATCATCAACAATTTTTATTGTAGAAATTAGAAGTTGTGTTAGAAGTGAAGAAAGGAATTACAGTTTGATGAATCATCTCATAGCAAAGCCAGGAGAATGCTCCCCTGGAGAACTGGATTCTAACCCTATCTCTGGAACCACATTCCTGTGTGATGCTTCTGAAGTTTCATAAGCCATTTCTGCACAAAATAGTCAGTAGTTTAATCCTCATTTTCTGGGGATCTAACTGGAAACGCAAAGGTCTACTTTGTGGAAACACCAAACATTCAAAGCTGGGATCCTTCTCTCTCAATGTATCTAAAGCTGTCCTTCAAAGAAAAAAAAAAAACCTGTAGGAATCCCAGATTGAGCTCTAATTATGTGTTTTCAGCCTCAACTGCAATCTGCAGAATGGAAATTATGCCAGATAGTTGCCCATGGAGGTACTGCAAAGATACGTAGATATATATAGCAATCATCTGCTGTACTACTGCGCACTATAAAAAATCCAATGGGAAAACACAGTCTTTCTAGAAAGATTTAAAATAACACATTAGACATAAAATGGGATCTACATATTGAAGCATGAGAATAAATTTAGAGAGCAAGCAGTGTTTTACTAAATGAGTATTGTCTGCCTCCTATACTGCTAGAGCCCTCTGGAATAAACAATAATCAGTGACCAGTCAAGGACTATATCATGGTGATAGGTACAGGATACAAATTAAAGCTCTTTAGGCAGGCTGAAATGCGTCTTTTTCTCACATTTTGTGTTTGGTTTGATTTGGGTTTTTTAACCAAGTATGTGAGTAACTTTGTGTAAGTACAGAACCAGCTGTGTTAATTATGGACTCAGTTAGAGTGTAACTTTTCCCAGATATTAGCATACACCATAGGCTTGATAAACCTTACATCTGGACAGTTGTTCTATTAATACTTTTTAAAATTTCACTGAACACTTGTCTATTTGAATAAAATAGTTGTAGAGCTATTTAGCACATGCCTAATGTGTTGATTATCATGCCTGGATGGCAGATAAGCCAAATGGGAGATATTGTCAGTGAATTTGAATATGAAATTCAAATTTATGTGTATTTGCACACATCATCTAAAATAGAACCTTATTCTTAAAAGAAACCCACGTTGCTACTGCAGTGTAAGTATTAAGTAATCATTTCTATCATGATAAAGAAACAAAAACACAGGTGGGAAGAGCTTCACCCAGAGTAATCTCGCCAAAACATCCTTAGTCCCAAATTATCCGTGACTTGTGTGTAAAATGAAATTAATTCAGAGTTAAATGATTCAGATTATATAAAATGGGTAGTTTTTGATCCTAACAAAGATCGTTTTTTAAAGATTGTGTGGTTGACATTCAAAGTCAGATTGCCTCAATCTTGAGAGAACAAAATCTACTAAGGCAGCTGTTATTAGTAACAAGAATTTCTCTGGGTTGCTGTTAAACAAAATCATAATCAGATGAGTAATTTTAGGTAAAATGTAGGGCTTTTAGAAAAAAAACTGCTTATAAAACATTATTATTGCAATTTAGACAGTTCCTTAGAAAAATGGCTGTCACTGTAGAGACAATCACATTGTACAAATTAAGGAGCAAATGTAAAGATTTGCAAAGCGATTTTGATTCCTAATCTGACCCTAAAGTCAGTTGAACACTCAGATTGGCCAAAGTTTCTACACCACAGGCTCCTTACTGTTTATTACATAGCAATCACAGTAGGTATGAAGACATAATATAGTGCTGTTCAAGGATTTACTCAGAAAAAGTGGCATAAGTATCTTTTTCATTTAGCACTTCTTAGTGTGAATTCACTTCAGGTTACAAAGCCAGGCATGGACTTCACTGCTGATTATTGATGTGGTTGCTAAGTTCTTTCAAGAACTATTAAGTGGCCCTAAAGATGATCAAAAGGGACTAAGGAGAATTAGTTATAACAGTGGTTTGGAGAAATGGAGCAAATGAGCAATAAAAACAGGAGGAGGAAGCCTCATTTTCTTCTTTCTACTCTGTCACAGCTTGGATATTAAAGTTTCTTTCTGCAAAGCCTACAAAATTGCTTTATTTTTGTGAGGTGTTGCCATGTGAAAGGTGGGAGTTCAGATTCTTACTCGTCAGTCCCCCAGGAAAGTTGAGATTCTGTCAGCATCTCGTAAGGAGACCCTTCACCAACAGATTCACAAGATCAGAGGATACCTCAACCTCCCTTGTTAGGGGGAACTCAACAGAGCCAGGAGCCCTCAGGACTCACTTTAACTGTTAAAGGTGTAACACTTTTTATTAACACAAATTGTGACAGGTTAATAAGGTTCGAAGTTTGTCAGTGATAGTGTGTACTGCAAAAATATGTTTAAAGCAATCTACTGATATATATACTAAGCAAGCACAAGCTCTGATACGAAATAATCTAAATAATATACTATGGGGTAAGCATAAGCAAAAGTTCTAGTCCTAAAAGCAGCATTTAATGCATGTAGAGCATATTTCTCACCCAAGGCATCCCTTGGTGGGGGGGACAAGATGGACTCAGCCCGCTGACTGATCCCAGCGGTTTTGGTGGAGGTCTCCCACTTTGCCCCTATCCCCAACTTACTTTTATACTGTTTTCTTCGTGGAGTTTGAGTGGCTCTGGTCATAAATACCTTTAATGTCTGATTGACGTACTCAGTGGGGGGGGGGGGGTGATTGTGGTTTGGCACCTGAGAAGGGGGTTCAACACAGTTGAACATCGTGATTCTCCCTTATCAAGCATGTAGTGTATGGTCTTGGTACTGCAGTGTTCTCCCATTCTGCTGGGATTAGAACAGAGAGAGGG